GTTGGGTGTGAACATGTGGGAGTTTCTCCCCCCCACACCTGCTTCCCCCCCATCCCCACCGCCTGTTCTTTGTGATATGGCTGAGCCCAACCCCTCTGCAGGCAGGGGGAGGTGGAGGAGGGAAACAGCACTCCCTGCCTGGCTCCAGAACACTGAAAAGGGTGGGAAAGCAGCTACTGCCAACAGGCAGCAAGAGAAGCCCCTGCAAGAGGGGAGTGGGGCACAGGGAGCCAAGCCTGGCACCACTGGTTCTCTTGGTCTCTGTCTTACACCTGCCTCATGGGGCTACAACCAAGCCTGTGCTGGCTTCTGCTCCTGCTGCTGCTTCCATCCTATGTGCCTGCCTGCCTGGGGGGCTGTACCAAGTGCACACTGGCTGCTACTGCTGCTCCCACCCCACCTGCCTGTCCTGTATCTGCCCAACAGGACTTTGTGAGCAGCCAAGCATCTTCATGCCCCACCTCCATCCACAGGCTCAACCACCCAGCCATGTATGAGCAGGACCAAAGGCAGAGCCCACCCCACTCCCGTCAATGCTGCAAGCTTCCCCTCCCTGCCCAGAGCACTGCAGCAGGGACAGGAGGAGGAGTCACTGGAAGCCAGGGGAGCCCAACAGTTCCCTAGGCAGTGGCAGCAGCAGCCTTGCCAGGAAGATACGCCCACTGGCTGGGGCTGGCGCCCTCCAGCAGGGGAACTGCCCTAGGTGGGAGCGGGCAGAACTCAACCCCATGTAGAGCACAGGAGGGGCAGCTGCTGGCAGGGCTGGATAAAATTAATTGGTGGGTACCTGCCTGCGGGCCGGATCCAATCAGTTGGCAGACCAGATCTTTCCCACGGGCCGTATTTTGCCCACTCCTGCTTCAGGTGGTAATGCAGAGTGAGAAATGTGCGACCTCCTGGGTGGCTTTCTTAGACACACGAGCTCATTGCGACCTGCATGCACAAACCTAAAGGTAGATTCAACCCTGATGGAACTGGGTACAGTCCCATTGTTTGATGGGTACCAAAGCTGAATATGGCCCCTAGAGACACTGGGGAGCAGATGCTGCTTTCCTTTGATTATCTGAGGAATGAGTATCCCAAGATAACTTCTCCTTGCCCAATTTTAGTCCTAGAGAAATCCATTCTGAGCATTACAGTGCCATAAGACTGGCACAGTAGTGGGAGTACCACGATACCAGCTACTGACCCAGTGATGCCACTGCCACTTTGCCCTCTGGATATCCCAGCTGTGACATTTCCAGACCAGCTCTTGCACTCTGGCTGCCTCCTTTGGCTGGAAAGACATGGAATGGAATCTCCTTTGGGACCCATCAGTGCCATTCTCTGGTTGGCTATCAGGGTTTACATGACACTGCCCCTTTGCTTTTAGTGGAAGACAATGGGGGCACCTTTTTCCCTAGAAAGTGCCACTGAATTTGTAACACTGGGCTTTAAATGTGTTGTCCCTCACAAGGTCCTTTCCTGTTTCAGGGCTTCCTGTCAGACTTGCTAAAGAAAGCAAACAGGCCCTATGATGAGCCAAAGCTGCTGGAGTATACACAGACCATTGTAAGTGAGGGCATGGTTTGGAGGGAGGGATAGGCACCCTGCTACTCTGTCCACATGGGAATAGGCCCAATCCTGCCCCTTCCACCTCCTGTGGACACAGCTGCAGCAGAGCTGCAACCATATCAATAGCTGTGGAAAGC